AAAAAAAAAAAAAAAAAAATGTCATGCTGCTGCCTTGGACATCTCGTGGTGCTTGGTGGTCATGCGGTGGCTGTTTAGTTAGCATACTGAGAATATCAAGGCACAAAAATAACCTTGTGGCCAGAACCTGTGGGGAAAAAGTTGTTGGGGGCTCCAACTTTGCTCTCTCCAGAAGCCCGGGTGGCCACTTCTGTGACACAGCTTGACATATAAAATCTATGGGCAGAGTATGTCCCTCTGTTCTGTGCCAAGAAATAAAAGCTGCACCCTGTGCTAGCATTCTGGGTGCCTCTTCTCCCCTCTCAGTCCATCCAGTTCTCCTGCTTTCAGGGTGTCCAAAACCATCTGAGAAAGTTATCTAAAGACTTTCCATAAAGAAAGGGAAGGGGGGCGGAAATCCAAGGGATCATAAACGTTCCCAGGTCTCACTGTGTGCCAGGAGAAATACCGTCTGTCTCCCGCCCAGACCTCAGAGCCCGGGCTTTTTTCCTACAGGGCGGTGCCCAGCTATTCCTGGAAGCCCCCTCCTTTCTAGCAGCCCCCTCCCCAAGGTGTCTTCTCCCAGAGCACGGACCGAGGGAAAAGATCAGATCAGCAAAGCTTGACGCCCCCCTGACCCCTCTTTCTGTCCCCAACCTGACCTGCATTCTCAGCCTGTGCCCTCTCCTGATGCCACGGCGCCAGATTCTTCTCCCAGAGCAGGACCTAAGCCATGAGCTCTACCCCTCAGCCTGGCTCCGCGCTCCACTAGGTGACCAGGAGAGGATCTGATATACTAATTTGTGTTAATGTGATAATGGGAGCTAATGGGGTCATGTGCTAACCATAGGTCCAAGTTCTAACTCAGCATCACAACCTCAACACCAAGCTCAGGCTGCAGGGATGGGAATTTTGGACTGACTAATCTCCACAGCCGGCTGGAGCGGGTGGGGAGTGGGAGGAACCGAAGCCCCGGGACGATCCCAGGGTCTGGTGCCTTTGAACTGCTGTCTCGGTTTCAGTTTCATCCTTGGCTGACACGTTCCTCTGAAGAGTGGAATTGCTTTGGTTTCCCTCCAACCCCTCTCTCGTCCCTGGCCGCCCCCTTTTTGGACTGCTAGCTCCCCTCGGTCAGCCCTTCTCTTCATGAGGGAAGAGATGGGAAGATAATTTGGCAGCGACAAGGAAAAAATGTACACGTAGACACCCTGAGACGCACAGGCTCACATACCATACTGCTTTGCAGACACACATATGCACACGCCCTCCACGAACACACACGCATGCAAGAAGGACCCGACATCCAAGACTTGAGCCCACACACACCCACACCCCCAACACAGTTATGCCCTTACTCACATCTGTGAGACCCACACAGACACGCACATAGGCAGGCCAGACCCAGAGACCCATGTTACACACAGACCCACATGCACACTCACATGCCCTCACACAAACAAACCAGCAGCAGCCGCCGAGTTGGATGGCTTCCTCAAAAGAGGGCTGGAAAGTTTGTTTGCTGCCAGCGAAGGGGCCTAGACATTCCGTGAAGTGACTCATACTGCACCTTTATACACATTAAGTGTTATATTTCTCTGCATTCAACAACAACCCTCAACCCCGATGTGGGGGCAGGGTGGGGAAACTGAGGGGTGGCTGCATTTCTTTTTTTCTTTTATGAGACAGAGTCTCGCTCTGTCGCCCAGGCTGGAGTGCAGAGGCATGTTCTCGGCTCACTGCAACCTCCACCTCCTGAGTTCAATCGATTGTCTCAGCCTCCTGATAGCTGGGACTACAGGCGCCCGCCACCACGCCCAGCTAATTTCTGTATTTTTGTTTGTTTGTTTGTTTTTGAGATGGAGTTTTGCTCTTGTTGCCCAGGCTGGAGTGCAATGGCGAGATATTGGCTCATTGCAACCTCCGCCTCCCAGGTTCAAGTGATTCTCCTGCCTCAGCCTCCTGAGTAGCTGGGATTACAGGCATGCGCCACAACACCCGGCTAATTTTGTATTTTTAGTAGAAATGGGATTTCTCTATGTTGGCCAGCCTGGTCTCGAACTCCTGACCTCAGGTGATCTGCCCGCCTTGGCCTTCCAAAGTGCTGGGATTACAGGAAATCTGCCCAAAGCCACTTTGTCCTTACTCTTTTTTTTAAAAAAAAAGAACCACAGGTTTGGGTCTTTCTGTCTCCCTGACACTCCAAATTTCCCACCACCCCAGAGGTTCCTCCTGAAGAACACTGAATCTGTTTCCCAAACAACAGGCCCACTCCCCAACTATCGGGGGTCAGAGGGTAGTGCCTCCCAGCAGCCACCACGCTCAGGGTTGACAGGGCGAGCACCTGCTCACAGCCAGCACCACCTCCTGTGCCGGCATCACCTCCTCCAGGCAGCCCTCCTGAGCTACTGTCCAGCTGGAAGACAAGAGAAGGCCTGTGATCTGAAGTTTTGTAGGGGCTTTCATGGTTCTGGGAGGAGAAATGTGTACCTGTTTTAATGATTGTAAACTGAGCAGGGTGGGCTGCAGGTACCAAGTGGCTTTCCAAGATCCCCAGTCAGACACGCATCCCAGCCTAGGAGGGTGGCTCAGATGAAAGTTGTGATCTGGGAAGTGGCTACCAACTCCATCCTCTCATCTTCGTGCCTGCACCTTAGCCTGAGTCCACACCTCCACCACAGTCCAGACCGTCATCCGTGAAGAAGAGCTTTGGTATAACCAGCCCATGTTGCACACAGATCCACATGCCAAGAAGTTGAGTGAGGGGAGGGAGGGAGAAACCAGCCACCTTGTCTCCAAAGAACCTGCGGTGGCTGGGCACAGTGGCTCATGCCTGTAATCTCTGCACTTTGAGAGGCTGAGGCAGGTAGATCACCTGAGGTCAGGATTTCGAGACTAGCCTGGCCAATGTGGTGAAACCCCATCTTTCCTAAAAATATAAAAAATTGGCCAAGCACAGTGGCAGGTGCCTGTAGTATCAGCACTTGGGGAGGCCGAGGTGGATGGGTCATGAGGTCAGGAGTTCGAGACCATCCTGGCCAACACAGTGAAACCCCGTCTCTACTAAAAATACAAAAATTAGCTGGGTGTGGTGGTGCAGGCCCATAGTCCCAGCTAGTTGGGAGGCTGAGGTAGGAGAATCACTTGAACCTGGGAGTCAGAGGTTGCAGTGAGCCGAGATCGCACCACTGCACTCCAG